TGGCAGCTGTACAGTGCTGGGACGCTGCAGTTCCAGTGCATGGTTTCTTTGATGGCCCTCCTTTTTCAGCATCCTCTCTTCATCGCTTTTCATTCTGTTCATGCTTAGCACTGTGCATGCTTTCCATAATCACCTGCCTTCGCATGTGATCTACCGCCTTACTGCATGCAGTGCAGAACAGCACAGTGCCATCACTGTGAAACTTATCCTTCCCAAACTCAGCAACACAGTCTTTACATGTGAGTTTCACAATCTTCGACATCTTTTCTGAACTTGAATACGACGTCTGGAGACTGAAGTAAAATTTGAGATGCACCAAACACATGAGCCCTTGTACATAGGGACCAACTCAATTTGCAGTTGCACTTTTTTTTTTTTACTGAAAGCGTGAAATCAAGTATTTTCCATGAAAGAAAGCAAGTGAACCCTGCATTTTTGTTGGGGCTGGGAAACAAAAAGGACTCCCTCTTTGTAAGCAGAATAGGTGGGAAGCCTTTTGCCCCGAGAGCAAATTGTGGCAAGCTCTACTGTAGCCTTGAAATACAGGGGCAGGGTCTGGGGGCAACAGCGGGGGCAGGGGTAACACAGGACTGCCAGGTGCCAGCTGGCACTGCCTGTGGGGCTTGGCCCAGTGCAACCAGTCAGCAAGCCCAGGAGTGCATGGCTTTATATTGGCGCACCCCAGCCCACAAACCCCCATCTTCACCAGTATAAAGCAGCGGTGGGCGTGGGAAATCGCTGGTACAAAGCCGGGCACTCCAGTGAGGATCAGGGTTTGCTGGCCGGAGTGCCTGGCTGGCTACATGTAAACATGGAGGTGCCGAGCCCAGTCGGACTAGCACTCCGCGTGCAAGCAGCCAGGCACTGGGGGCAGCTGCGAGCCCCAACCCCTGCTGGAGTGCTGGCATTATAGCAGAGATTTCCCCCCGCCCCCTGCATGCCCCAATCCCCACCGGAGTATGGGCATCGTAGCAGAGATTCCCCACCCTGCAAGCCCTGATCCCCGCCGGAGTGTGGGCATTGTAGCAGAGATCCCCACCCTCCCGCCACCCGCTCCATGTGCAGGCAGCCGGGCACTCCAGGCAGCTGCAAACCTCGATTCCTGTCGGAGTGCCCCACTTGATACCAGTGATTTCCCGCGTAACAAACTCTCAGTCCTCTCCGGTATAAAGCCAGGCACTCCGGCAGGGATCAGAGGTTTGCACAGGGGGAATAGCTCACCCCCAGTCCTGCCCCACAATGCTCCTGCCCCACAATGCTCAAGCCCCACTTACCTCTTCCCAGACTCTAGAAGCAAGTGGATCCTGACCCAACACTTGGTACTAAATACCTCAGCCCCACCCTTCCCCATTTCCCTTTCCCTCCGCGCCATTCCTGTCTCTTTTGCAAACAGGACTTGCAGGCTAGAACCCAGCTAGCCTGCAGAGCTCTTTGAAAAGCAGGGAACTCCATGGTTTTCTCTGCTAAAAGAGAAAATCCACGTTTTCTCTGTTAAATGAGGAAATCCAAATTTTTCTCTGTTTTTCCGCTGGAAACGGAAAGCCTGGATCCCTGGTTATAAGTGATAAAGCCATTAAAGCACCCTTTGCTTCTTTAATAAATGTATCATGTGCATCATTCCTTACACAGTGATATAGCTCCATGCAGGAGGGGTCCAAAGCACTTCCCTCTTCTCTTAACGTCAGGTCAGGCAGTAAAATGAGGGTTAATGTTCCAAAATGAGGGTTAATATTGCTGTAGCTCAAATTCCTCCTGGGCCTAGACCTGTGGGGCTGAATCGCCTCCCCTCGTTGGAGCTAATGCTGGAAGATCGGGCCCGTTGGTAGGAAAAGCATCAGATCCTCTACATGGCCTGAACAGCCATCATGTCTGCAGGGACCCACCAGGGCTTCTTGCTTTCTCTGGAAAGATCGAGAAGGGCTTCCACCCTTCCAGTGTCACTGGCCTCTGTGTGCTACAGAAGGGGCCCTGCAGCGGTTGCTCTGAGACCAATGGAAATGGGAAAGTCAGATTGTGCCAGGAGACACTTGCTGAATGAGTGACCCATACGGCATTCACTGCTGGTACTGCTGGAGATGACAGTGACCTTTTCTGTCTCCAGTGAAGAAAGCTGAACAATTTTACCCTGAAAAATCAGGCCCCGGAAATACCACCAGCAGCATACACTAAGCAGGAAAGCCGGGGACAGCATTAAACATGTTAGAAAAAAAAAGGCTAGTCCCACGTGTGTGGGGAATTGGTCACATTGAATGCAGGCAGTAATGACAGTAGAAACCAGTTCTTAAACAGGATGCTGACAAAATGATCATGTCACCCAAAATGAGCATGAGGACATAGGTAGAAATGGCAGGAGGGAGAGGACTTTCCTTTTGCTTTGATGTGTTATGCTCCAGCTCTGAGGCCAAGCAATCACCTGCAGAGCTCAGGCTCAGGGAAAGCAGCAGAGGTTCTTGTCTCATTTCCCCATACCACCACGGCTGTGGTGCTACACACCACACATTCAGTTGTACTTCGCTCTGCAAGGGAGCAGCACAGAGGGATTTCTTCACTACTATATGAATGGGTCAAAAAACCCACAGAGAAAAAAGGCAAAACAGTTTGTGCACAGGCAGAGTGCACTGGTCAAAACCAGAGCTGGGTTACCCAGAGCTGTGCTGTGGCTCCCAGCCAGGCTGTGTGCAGCAGAGTCGCTGCTGCTGCTGCCCTGGGAAGACCCCATGTAAGACTGCTGGGACCAGCCCATTGCTGGGCCAAGACTCCCCTACTGCCCCTAGGTTAACTTCATGCTTGACGATGGCGCAGGCATTCCCCATGGACAACCAGTTGTGGCACAAGGTGCACCGCTGCTAGTTTTCCCCAGGGAACCAAATGTCCACACCATGTATGGACATGGCCATTGAATTTAGGATGCACCACAGGTTACTCCTGTTGCTCCACTGTCTGCAGCTGTTCAGCCCCTTGTCTACTCACACAGCCTGAAACTTTTCCAGTGTTGTCTGAACACTCTGCGTTCCTCCTCTGTTGGGACAGACACAACCCCATGCACTCGTTGAACATGGACAGCCAGGTTAACACCCATTGGTCATGAGTATTTGGACAAGTCAGAGCAAGACTAGAGCAGGGCTAGTAGAGAATGGGGAAATTCTGGAAAACTACACCACCCCCTCAGGGGTCCCGCACAGCGCGTGTGGGTTTCCGTTCCTTGGAGCACACAAACCCTGGGGGACATTCATGCAATCAAGAATGGATTTTCTGGGCCGCATGTGTGGTTAGCAGAGGTGAGACCACCCCATTTAAATACGCCTTTTTATCAGCTTGTGATTTATTAGCCCATTTGGGAAGAATGTACACAAAGGTAGAGGAGTCTGGGACCAATCCTGCTCCTATTTTAAAGCTCAGGCAGCTTCACTGATCCTAATGGAGCCTCCTTTCCCCTCCTCCTAACATCAGCACTGACAGTCAAACAACGGTCTTGTAGCTCAAATACAACCTGCGTGTTGAACCCAGGCCTCATCTGCTCCCCCTTCGGACAAGACTGAACATGCTGGGACCAGAACGGAAAAGCGCATCCAAAGATCCAAAGTTCAGATCTAATATATACCACTTGCAAAGGGCACCTAAGGCATCTTCCCCACCAGGGAACAGAGGGGGTATGAAAGGCAGAACAGAAAAGAGAATTGAATGTCTTAAGACACATTCTGGTATTAGCCCCACGGCTGCAATTCTCCAACTTGTTCATGGACACGGACCTGTCCATGGATGGCTCCAAAGAAGGTTAGGAGCAATGGCACTGCAGCAGTGTGGATCTGGTTGGTTGCTTGTGTCATACACAGAAAGGGCCACGACAGCTGCAGAGAAGATTAAGACAGAAACTGAGGAGGTGACATGGGGTTTGGGAAACAGGTTTGCAAGATTCCCTGACTCACCATATGGTTGTAGGCCAGTGATTCTCAGCCGAGGCGCTGCAGCACTGTTTGCGGGGCACTGGCATTGGCACTGCACCGTGGAGCCTTGATCTTCCTGGGAAGCAGGCACTGCACCTTCCAGACACATCTACAATACTTCTGGCAGGGGATCTCCTGCTTTAGCACTGCTGGATAGTGGGGGACACAAAACTATTCAGGGTGCTGGTTATTCACCTATTGGGCAGTGCTGGAAACCTGAGGTGCAAAGAGATCATTTTCCAGAAGACAGAGCTGTGGGGTGAGAAGAGACACCGGCAGAGAGACGTGTGACTTCCCAGCTGTGACAGCTGTGCTGTGTGGCCATGAGCTGGGCCTCAGTTTCCTCATTCATCAAATGAGCATCATTTCTTATCTTATGGTTCTTGACTACTGTCCTTCAACCCAATAGCCAAGCATCGTCCCTTCATACTGATACAGTATAACAGGGCTTAGGGGCATTAATGACATTTTTCCATGTTTGAGATGGAAATGTCTTCCAGTCTACATTTTGTGTTATTAGTTAGGTGTTCTTCATTTACTCTTTGTTCTGCTCTTTTGGGCAGGTGGAGGAGATGAGGTTTCTACCTTGCCTGGTTGAGGATTGTTGTGTACAAGGAGTTGTGATTATTTTGTGTGTAACCTGCATTGTGCAAAGGGCTGCATGCTACAGGAGCCAGAGCTCAGGGAGCCACCAATTCCTGCTTCTAGAGTTTAGAAACACTGAACAAGAATTCACAGTCTTCAAAAGGTAACCCGCCTCTCAGTCCCCCTCCATGTCCTACAGGTCTCCAGTAGAAAGGGCCATCCCTAGCGTATGCTGAATTGGGGTGACCGCTCCAGGCCCTGTGGTTCAGGGGCTCTGCAGAGATGGGCAGAAAGGCTGCAGCCCCTCACGCAGGGCCCTCATGGATCTGGCAGCTCAGCCCCATGCTGCTGAAGGATCGGCTCTGCTGGTAGGAGCCCGGCTGCACAGGCAGCACTTCCAGGGGAGAGCAATGAGGACCAGGTGTGCTTCACAGCTCTCACTGTAGAAAACACTGTGGCCCATTTCCTGTGTCAACAAGAGGTTTCTGTCTCCCATCCACATTCCCCTGTGTCACTGTGAGGAGAGCTGCTGTCATCATCATAAGCCTGGCAGTAATAATCAGCCTCATCCTGGGCTTGGGCTCCAGTGATGGTCAATGTGGCCGTGCTCCCTGATTTGGAGCCAGAGAACCGGTCAGCGATGCCAGAGGGTCTTTTGCTGTTTTCGTATATAATCAGCACAGGGGCACTGCCAGATTTCTGTTGATACCACTGCACATAGTTGCTGTCAATATTTCTTCCCGTGCAGATGAGTTTAGCAGTTTCCCCTGGAGAGACAGACACTGAGGGCGACTGTGTCATCACGTACTGGGCAAGTGAACCTGGAATAGAAAGAAAAAATGCGTTAATAGAAAGACTCATTATTGGGTAGAAGCCCATTACCATCATCTGCTGGCAGCCTCTGTAGCACCTGAAAAGTATAGTACTGGCACGAGGAGGAGTGTCGCCCAGGCCATGGTGGGAAACCCAAGCGGCTCAGCTTCCTCAGGGAAAGGCTTCTGTAGCTGGCACCACGCACATCTCTCTTAAAGCAGCAGGGTTGAGAGCAATCCCTTCATGCAAATCTGCTTCCTGCCAACTGGCTGCTCAAGACACCGCTCCTGCCCTTCTGACAACAGCACTGATGCAGGCAGCAGGCTCTGGTCCTATTCTGCCCTCTCTACTATGGTGTAACAGTGGGGTAAATGCAGTGGTGTTAATGCAGTCCAACTGTTGTACAAAGAGTGTCAGTGTGAGGAAAATCATATTCTTGTTGTGTAAACGTGTATTTTTAATGAAGCCTACTAAGTAGCCAGAAGCCTGACAGCCTCCTGAACCACTACAGAACCCAGAGCCCAGGCATGCCCAAAAAGATCATCATTATTAGATCAGCACTGGCACTGCCCTGTGGGACCTGGATCTTCCTGGAAACCTTGCGCTTCCCCTCGCACAGACACCTATGTTTTTTTCTGGCAGGCATCTCCGGCTCTGCAGCACAGGGCAGTAGGGGATGTGGGACTGTGCTATTAGCTCTATTACACGTCATTCTGGGCATCAGGCTTCCTTACACAAGTCCAATTCACAAGCCGGCTGTTTGCCCCTGTCAGCAGGTGGGAAGTTGCTTGAGAGGGCATAGCCAGGAAGATCCCATCCAAGCCGACAGAAGAGTAGAGTTCATCTTTGAAGAGAGTTTGGAGACTGCATGTTTCACGGGGGTCTGCATCTGACTGAAACCTGAGAATGGGCACATGCCAGTAAAATAGACAGCCTGTGAATGGGAGAAGAGAAGAGAAGAGAAGAGAAGAGAAGAGAAGAGGGAGCTGGAGCTGCAGGGCTGACTCTTCTAGAGAAAGCCAGGTCTGTCTGCTCAAGGAGCGTGCTGGGCACCAGCCAGAGGTTGAATTTCCCAGCTGTGGCACAGATGTGCTGTGTGACCATGGTCAGGGCTGAGTATCTCTGTGCTTCCACTTCCTCATCTATTAAGGAAATATCATCACCTGTCTTGTAGTCTTTCTTCTACCATCCATAAGCGCAGTATCTGAGTCCCTACCTCTCCAGCTGAAACAGCGCTAAAATCCTTAGGGACATTTGTGGTATTTTTCCCTTTTTCAAGGTTTAAATTCTGCCTAAGTCATTTTAGTGATACTGTTTCCTCACAGGATATTTACCACTGTCTAGGTTTCCCGCGGGTGGTTTTCATGTCTCTATTTTGGTTGTTTGCGGTTGGTTGAGTACAAGGAGTTATAATTGTTTTGTGTGTCATGCTATCATGGAAAAGACTTCACACCACTTCCCACTGGGATTGCGGAGACACCGAATATCTGAGATAAGTGTGGGTGATGGCACTGACACAGAACCAAGCAGCAGGGAAGCCACAATTATGGTTTCAATGTGAGGATGAATTCAAATGCTGCTCTCTCCTCCTTCTGCACTCCACATTATAAATGCCCAAAGAAGCCAAGCCACATAGACAGATCTTCCAGGTGACTGCAAAGAGGATACTTGTTTCTCTTAGCATCTCCCAGCTTGGTTATCAAGGAAGCAAAACCATTTCGCTCATTTTTCCTATCCTGACAAGAGCTGTTGCTAAAAATATCCTTGGTACACTCCCTCTGACAACAGGAGTTTTGCATCTCACTTCTGCACCACACTGTGTCACTGCATCAAAAGCTACAGTCTTTATCATAAGCTCCACAGTAATAATTGGACTCATCCTCAGCTTGAACTCCAGTGATGGTCATCATAGCCACGTTTCCAGGTTTCACACATTTTTCCCATCCTGACAAGAGCTCCCACTAAAAATACTGTGGTACACTCCCTCTGACAACAGGAGTTTTGCATCTCACTTCTGCACCACACTGTGTCACTGCATCAAAAGCTACAGTCTTTATCATAAGCTCCACAGTAATAATTGGACTCATCCTCAGCTTGAACTCCAGTGATGGTCATTGTAGCTGCGTTTCCAGGTTTGGAAACAGAGAATCAGTCGGGGATTTCACTGCCTTTTAGATCCTCATATAAAATTATCAGCATGGGGACACTGCCAGGTTTCTTCTAGTACCAGCTCATATCAAACCTCAACTTCAAATCCCTGCTGTGAAACCTCAGTCTGCAGGCAGGCTAGTGGGATAGTACAGGACCTCCCCAAGAAGGTATTTTACACAGAGATTGATTAATTGAAGAGTGGTCTTCTTCTCCTCCATGTCTGACTGCAGCTCCTTCCTCCTCATGATCAAACCCTGCAACCCAGTGCAAGTGCAGAGAAGCACCCTTCACTGAGGAGCCTGCATTTTACCAGGCAGACTTTCTGTAGGGTCACTGTGGAAAGTTAAAGATGGGAGATGTCAGGTGCACATGAAAAGCCTCTGCGATGCAGCGCCATCATGGGTCAGTGCAGCTTGTGCCAGTAAGGGCCTTGCTCCCCTCACTAATAAGGGCAGGAGCATTGTGCCCAAAAGCTTATTTAACATGTCTCTTAACTACACAGTAGGTCCAAAAGAAGGTATCACCAAAAACTCTTCCTTGCTTCAAGGGTTTTCCCCTCTCTGATACATCCTGGCTAAACAGCTCCTTCTAGTGCCTAGCATGTTGGCCCACCCTGTCTGTCATCATCATCAATCATCATCATCAATGTAGTTTCTGAAGGGAAAGGCCTGTTCTCCTGCAGACCTGTCAGGCTGTGGGGCAGGGACAAGAAGAGCTGCTCTCTCCCAGGCATGAGAGGGAAGCGAGAAATCAGCTGCAGAGGAAGTCTCTTGTCCTGGCCCTGCTGGATGCACTGCATTGAGGCTGCAGTCTGAAACCTCAGGACAAAGCTGGACATGCTAAAGAGGTCTCAGTGGAAACCCCTGCAGGCTCCTGACATAATCTTGGTGAGCCTGAGGGATCTGACCCAGATTCTCTCGCAGACCTGGGATGTACCTATAACACTGAAGCCCAAGCCTACTGCCTGAAAGGGCCCAATGCCACTAGGTGGGAAACCAAAGAGCGCTTCCCCAAGACCCCTTGCAGCAGCATGAGGTACCATGTGCAGGAAGGGAGTGTCTGAGGTCTCTCGCCTGCAGCACTGTAGGTGACACCTATGAAAGCACCACATAGTCAGCCTCATCCTGGTCTTGGACTCCAGTGATAGTCAATGTGGCCGTGTTCCCAGATTTGGAGCCAGATAATTGGTAAGGGATGCTGGAGGATTTGTTGCTATCCCCACATATAAGTGGCAGGGGGCCACTGCCAGGTTTCTGTTGAAACCACTGCACATAGTTGCTATCAACATTTCTTCCTGTGCAGGTGAGTTTAGCAGTTTGCCTGGAAAAGATGGACACTGAAAGTGGCTGAGTCATCACATATTGGGCAAGAGAACCTGGAACAGAAGAAAGAAAAAAGGCGTTGGTAGAAAGATTAATTATTGGTTAGAAGCCCATTACAATTATCTGCTGCCAGCCAGGTGGGGGCGGGGAGATGAAACCTCTCTGGAACCTGAAAAGTACAGGACTGGCACAAGGAGGAGTGTGGCCCAGGCCATGGTGGGAAACCCAAGCAGCTCGACTTCCTGAGGAAATGCTTCTGTAGTTAGGACCATGCACATCTCTCTTAAAGCACCAGAGCCAAGAGCAATCCCTTCATGCAAATCTGCTTCCTGCCGACTGGCTGCTCAAGACACCGCTCCTGCCCTTCTGACAAAAGCACTGATGCAGGCAGCAGGCTCTGGTCCTATTCTGCCCTCGCTGCTATGGAGTAAGAATGGGGTAATGGCACTGGTATATGCAGTCCTTCTGTTGTGCAAAGAGTGTCAGTGTGAGGACAATCAGATTCTTGTATATTTAATGAAAAGTACCTAGTACCCAGAAGCCCGACAGCCT